GTTTGTGAACATTATACTTTCTCAGACTTCCGGACGTGTGTGAGTATATGGAGAGCTCTCCAAAAGCTTCTGTACACAAAGCGGTGTCCGTCAGAGTGTCCACTCTCTCCACTCTCATGCAACTTTGTGATCGATGAGATAATGAGACGAACGCTGGAAGTTCTTCAAAATCCTGTGACGAAAGCCTTGCCGATCTTGAATATTCAGGCGATATCGTTCTTGACTTCAAAAAGGCGAAGGTGCAGGTGTTTTTTGTAGAAGCACAATGACTGAGATATTGTCAAATTGTCCAATCCTGGATAGAAGTCGAGATACGTAGGTTGGGTTCAAACCATGGACCTTTCGGTCAGTAGTTTGGCGCCTAAACCGCCGAGCTATATGTCTGCGTGTATTTAATGTATTTTTAAACTCATTGTTTTCGTCCTTATTGCTTTTCATCCATTGCTTTTCCATCCATGTATATTTATATTTCGATTTAGTTTGCCAGAGATTTGGTGAGTTACACTCCCAAGTCCAATTCATCCAGCTCAGTGGAAATTCGTCTCACTGTACTCTCAGAGCTTGTCACGGAGCTGTACATGTTCCACTCATTTAAATTAATTTAAGCGGGGAAAAATCGTGCGTGAATTTGGAACCTCAGCTTGTAAAACAGGTTTGAAATATTCTGTATGAGAACAACGTTTTGGTTCAGTTACGGGTTTCGGAGCATGTCAGACACGCGTGTTGCGTGGGAGAGAGAGAAGCACTACACTAGGCTCGATTGAATTCAATTCGTCGGCTGTTCGCATCCATTCAAAATCAGGGTTAGGGCTAGATAACAGATGGACAATCTCACAGACAAACACGCATTGGCCAGTCAGATAATCGCATCAAGTGAACTTTATCGCACCCCACATCTGCTTGTGTAGAAGATCTAGATCTGAGTCATTACCAGCCTTCCTCAGGCGAGGACGAGATGGTTCAGTGGTTAGAGCGCGCCCTCATTGGCGCTCGTGCATCCAGACTATTGCCTTTAATGCATAACTCCCCACCCCCCCCTTACTGACAGTGCTGTATTTTCGCACCAATTTATCAGCTCCCGCCTCCAATGCACAGCTGTCGCCCCCAAGTCATCGGTGAGTGAAACTGTGGCAGCCACGACCACTGTACGACAAGTACGCGGTTCTTACAGCTGATGGTGATGATGATGGAAAGTCCTTCGTTCGAACCCCACCTCTGCATTTCGACTTTCCATGTATCGAAGACCTGACAGTATCCCCTCCCTTGTGCTTCCTTCGGGTCGCATGGCAACTAGACACCGAAAGGGTGCAATAGCCTAACCATTTTTCATGCTTGAGCAGGGCAGGTCTGGTCACAAATTCCGACAGTTCATGCATCTTGGCTTTTTGGCGCCGAGTCGCGGCTGCTCTGGCAAAGCGTAATAGACGGCTGTTGATTTCGCAGTTTATGACCATCCTGTTATTGCGCACCAACTCTAGTTCTGCGCCACTTGGGTTGGAGTTTTAGAAATTCATTTGGGCTTGCTCAGAAATCCTTATTGACAGTGATCTTTCGGAGTTTTCCAGCGCAGTTGCCCCCACGTGTATTGACGAAAACAGGACGAGGTAGTTAGATAGGTCACTTTGACTCATTAGACTAAATTGTTTCGATTCTGAAAAATACCTTGCACTAAGGTCCGTTTATTTTCTCGACCTTGGCGGCGACTGTAAACTTTGACAATCCACGACAATGGGATTCAGCTGGGATGCAGGTGTGCCTACCAATAGCACTGATTTCGATTACAACTGAAATCGGAAATCACGTGCAAGTAGATCATCAATCTGACAGAAACTGGGTAACTGTGCCCAGCTAATGAACCTGAACTGGTCATGAACTGTCGAAGAGTTTTCAGCAACCTTGTGAGTAGCGTGTTCTGCCAAGAACGTGTGCTGCGATATCTCGACTGCCGCAGCAACTGGACGATTGGGCGATCTTTTTTCAGCTGAAGGATGACTCTGCCGTCAGCACTTACCCGTTTTTTTCAAACTAGTGTACTTCGCCAAAGATTCATCTATATTTAACTAGATGGTCTTTTGAAATTTAAATACTTTCTCGTCTTACTCATCATTGTTTCTTGCCTTGTGGGTGATATGGAAAGGCCATCGTTCTTCATGTTCGGTGATGAATGTGATGCCAGAATTATATTGGTTCAAGTCTACAAATATTCGCCATAGCTTATGCAAATTGTGTAAATTATCGACAAGGCAAATATTGATGTGCACTTTTTGTACAGACCGACCTAATATTCTGTTTTCCAAAGGTGTCTCCAGGTGATCGTGATGAAAATCACGATGGGTGTGGTTACCACACCCAGACGGGTATTCCAATGAAATTTTGAGCCTTAACCAATGGCTCGGCATGCGGCACCTTCGCGTAGCTGTGCCAAGCTGATTGACACTCAGATGCGTTGGTGAATTTTATTCCTTAAATCATGATCAAACTTTGTTTGCCAGTGAACAGGGTTCAGTGGTTGGAGCGAGAATTTACTGACCGGAAGGTCCGTTGTTCGAACCTGACCTCTGCCTCTCGACTTTTCCTGTCTAGGCTTGGGCAAACTGACAGTATCACAGCCCTAGTGCTTCCTTCGGGGGGCTTGGTAGCTAGGCACCGAAAGGTTGTTACAGATTATCGATTATTTTAGTAAATTGAGCATAACCTTTCTAGAAGGATTCGAACTCGTGACATTCTGGAGTACATACCTTTTACATGAGGATATTTGAAAATTTCCAATCAAGGTTTCGTCCTTTCAGTGAAGTTGGTCTATGCTGGAAAGCATTGTGCAGCTGTTTTACCCTCATTGGGACTCATCAGCAGCGCGAATCTCAGGAAACTTCAGGGAGTTTAAGCACCTAACCGTTCGGCCACGAGTGGCCAATCAGCCGTGTGAGTAAGTTGCGTCTAGACAAGATAAGGTCCCGCTCGGCCCTCATTCACCGGATGCACACCACTTGGTCATACGTGTTGATTGCTTCCTCGAGTAACGACTTCTCTGGTATAAGTTTCATTTCTTCAGCTACATCTTTTCTGATTTGGTTGAATTTGACACATGCAACGAACTCCACGCACGTAGCTCCGGATTCATGATATACAGAATAATACAATTGAATGCCACATTGCATTCCAAATAGAGGTTATCACTCAAAGGATTGTTTAACATCAGGCCACTAGTTGCGAAGGTCTGGAGCTGAAAGATGTGTGGTTTCATACCCTGAAGAAGTGCAAATGAGTCTGATTCCTCGTGAACTATTCCCACTCTCAAGGCAGTGTCTGAGCACCCGAAAGTTTACGGCTGAACCCTTCCGAGGATCCGTGAGGTACACACGAATATTGATCCCTAACAGTCTTAGTTTTTCTTGCCTTCTTGATATGCGTCTGTTTTGTTGCACGTAGAAATCTGTAGCCCCCTTCTGACCAACACAAAACTAGCGCATTGAATAAGTAATCAGAGTACATCATTTGCTTCCACAAACCTGTGCCACTCCATTTACACAGTCACAGAAATAAAAGCACGTTTGATGGATGTCTCGGTTCTGAAAGTGACCTTAGGATTGAAGTCATCACTGCACTTCCAGAAAAGATCACTTCAAATTTTCTTGAAAAAAAATCTCTTAGCAAGGACTGCATGTTTGTAATGTTGGAATTTAGGTAGTTCGGGTATATTAGTTGGTTGTTGATCTGTTCGCTGAGCTTGGCGATTGATTTGCAAACGTTTCGTCACCATTCGAGGAGACATCTTAAGTGCGCTGTTGGTTGGATGGTCCCTCACTTCGTGCCTGCGTACCACAACGCAACACAGTTTAAGATCGGTCCAACCAGAATCCAAGTAGGATGATTGTCAATGGCCAATCAGGTTACAGCGCAAAGGCTGCTCTTCGTAGACTGTATAAACACAGGCACGAAGAGATGAACTACCCATTCAAAGGCTGCTCTTTGTAAACTGTATAAACAGGCACGAAGAGATGGACTACCCAACCAACAGTGCACTGGAAATGTCCCCTCGAATAGCGACGAAACGTCTGTGAATCAATTGCCAAGCTCGGCGAACAGATCGACAGCCACCTGATCGATTACCATGGACCGGATTTGGTCTCCTAGCCCTAGTTTTCTTCGTGTTATGGCTGTACGAGTCACTTCCCAGTTTTTCCCGTGGTTGTTTTAGGGTTTACAAACAGCTTTATGTGTTTCGCTTACAGCGACCATACTTTTGTCCCTCCGGATGAAAATGTTCTCTTGTCTAGAACGTTACTCAACGTCGCTAGTTGTTTCAGAGAACGGTCTTGAATAGTAGATCCTAACCGATGGCCTCTTCCGAAAGGAATATCTTTACTGCCACATGATATCCGCATAAAATGTCTTTCTGAGTTTAGATTTCCAACATCAGACTCGATTGCGAATTAGTTCCTATTTTTATCTGCAGAAAAGACGAAATAGCTCCAGTGTAATGTCAGGAGGAATACGTCTTTGATCATAGGTGACGATCCGGATTATTTTTGGATATATTGATGTAACGCGCCTCTGATTGTTCTGACAACCTTAATTGATTTCTGGCTATCAGGTTCTATCCAGATTTTTTGCACTCGTTTCCGGAAGTAGATTCCCTCGACCTTCTTTTCTCCCTCTTTTTACTGAATCCAATCGACGTGACCGTGAGGCAGTGGATTGCCAGCGCTGTGCAAAACTGTTGCCGCCACTGGCCATATATCACAATTAGTGAAATGAAGTGCACCTTCGAGTGTGGGGAGGTTTATTGGCCAACAGGAACTAAACGGTCACAAGCTATTGAAAACGAAAGTAAAAGACCTTATTTGCACGGGGAAGTGAACATTCTCAAGTGTTCTCCTAAACTTCCCTGGCTGTCCTTCGAACACGGAACAAAAATTAACAAGCATCACGGAAGGGTTCAATAATTTCCGTATCAACGTTGCACCAGATGCAGGCACAGCGCTTTGACACTTGACAAGATACTACTCCCATGTTTCGTCAGTAGCATATGCCCTTCAATAGTACCTAGTGGTTGCTGGTGCTATTATGGTGATGATCATTTCTGAACTCAAAAACATAATAGCAGGTTTTTCGGACCATAAATTACAAATACTGTCCAAAGTTTCCAGACTATGTCCCACTTACGACCAACTACACATCGGACTCATTACTTGGTGGAATTTTTTTTATAAGCGACTAGATTGGGTAAACTATCAGTTAGGTCAATATCAGTTGGCGGAAAGTCAGAATACATACCAGACTTTTGCGCAGCATTCGAAATTCGCAGGGAGCCTGCAAGAGTGCCGTATGGAACCAGTGTCACATTCTTTTTAAAGTAGACTGGTGCTTGAATTTGCTACCATTGATAATATTTCTTACCTTGTGCACCAACCAAACTTTCCGCTGTCTGCTTGACTAGAAGCTACCGAATATTCTTACGATTTCTCAAGATCAGTGACGGTGTTAGATCCACCTCATTGGAAGTCATGAAGGCGACGAAGTTACACGAAGGACTTCCCTTGTATGATTCCAAATTGGGCAGAACGCCCATTTCTGTAACGCTGGATACTACTGATGAAGCATGCGAGTAGCATGTTTGGTCGTAAATCCGCTTCGCATCTCTTGAAAAATGAGATCCATTACGGAATTCGTAGAGTCACTTTGTAGCATTTGCTTGCATTTGGGTAACAGTCGATTAATATCAAGGAAAGTTCAGAAAGACGCGTTCAAGGAGAAGACTGATATTCAGTTTTTGTAAACAAGATGTATACGAGAGTTTTTTTCTCCTGTAGAATAGTCTGTAACTCTCGAGTTGGTATTTTCTAATGAACAACTCCGCAGCGGAGGCCTTTTTCCTTTCATCAGAAGAACAGAACCAGAAATGAACAGTCAAAGAGGTTTATGTAACGTTCTGAGTAGCATGTTCTGTCAAGCAAATGCTGGGTAGTTTGTGAGCATGTTTCATAGTAATCTTTTGCCCCACAGAAGCCACCCTTGGTAAAGAGAAAATATGGGTATTGTCAGTGTTGACGGTTGATGACGAACAATTGCCAAGTTGATATGTGGGCTCGCTTACCCCATGTGTGCACTAATGCACGAAGAACAACAAGGTGAAATCACTGAAACCGGGACTTTTTCATAAGGTAGAAACGAATCGTGAGGCACAGCAATAACTTTAGTAAGATAACCTTAACCTCATGTTCTACTTGAACCCAAACTGCGCGGAATTAGTGGACTACACTCGTTTGCAAACAAATTTGGTTTTGCGAGAGACTCAACTGGAATCCAGCTAAATCTCTCGTTTATGATGATTTCAAGCAACCTTGTGAGTAGTGTATGTGTTGCGATATCTCCAATATCGTATCAACTGAAACATGAGGCGGCCTAATGCAGCACATTCAGTTGTCTGGAAGCATCATAAACGAGAGATTCAGCTGGGTTTCAGATGAGTCTCTGGCAAAACCAAATTAGTTTGCAAATGAGTGTATATTCGCTAATTTCGTGCAGTTCGGTTTCAAGTAGAACATAAGATTGACGGAAACTCGGGGACTGCGCCTACCTGATGAGCCCCAAGAGAGGGGAAAGCGGTCGTGGGCTGTCGACGAACTTTCAGCAACCTTACGATTAGTGCGTTACAAAAAATATATATCGCGATTTCTCGAATATCGTAGCGACTAAAACATGAGGCGGCCTGGTCCAGCACATTCAGTTGCCTGGAACACATCAAAACCGAGAGATTCAGCTGGGTTTCATTTGAGTCTCTCGCAAAACCAAATTAGGTTGCTAAGAAACCCCCTTGATTTTACATTGCAGTGGCTTCACAGGAGCTGGATATTTGTAAGGACGAAGTCATTCTAGGGGTTTGTGGTGGAGATTTGGTGGATGGTCTTTCTAGGGGGTCAGTTTTGTTTTAGGAGTTCTTATTAATAGGGACCATGATAGTACTCAACTAGGGTCATTCGGTCAATGAATGACCTCTTTCTGGAAGGACTTGCATTCGTGATTACTACTACTGTTTACCATGAGAAACGAGCGTCTTGTTCTCATGATTTTACAGTATGAATCTTCACCATGACGTACGTATTATTATGTAATACATCCATATATATATGTGTGTATACATATATACTACAGCATAAATATTATGCACGGCGACAAATGTTTAAACCAAACGCCGACGATTGTATGCATAGCGTGAGCGTTCATCTGTAGATCTTCGGTTGATTTGACGCATGCCTGTCTATTTTAATTCAATTTCATATCAATTCAGCATTCATCCTAAATGTCGACAGAAGATGGGCGAAATAGTGTGCTTATACAGACTGTTGGGCACAGTTGGTATGTGTCTCCCGCTCCGGAAAGGATGATGAAATGAAGCAAGCGATTCAGACGGAAAACAGTATTGTTGTTCAATTGGGATCTGTTTTGGATAGAGAAATTAAATTTTGAACTAATTCAGGAAGTAGGAAAGATGCGTTCAACGTCAGACTGCTAAACACGGTGTTTACCTCCTTTCTCTGAGATAAACCACTGTAGGTCTCTGAATTATCCGCCCGATCCTCATGGCTGTTGAGAATGACGTCAGCCAATAGCGTGGGGTTGTAACAACCAAACAATTTTCCCAGTACTCTAATAGGATTCAACGGTAATCGCCATGTTTGCATGACATTGAATGTGAGAGTTTTTAAGCCAGAATATATTTGGTTACGTCTAAAATCACCGCTTTTCTTGAGGTTAGAATGTGCAAAGACAATTTGGTGGTACTAATTGGAAGTGGCTTTATACTAATCCGCGTAACATGCTTAACGAGGGGCGACGACAACAGACACCGGAAGCCAACAGCCTAGGAGTTTGCCGTACTCTTCCGGCGGCACAGCGCTGGATTTGTCGTGGAGGAGGGAAGGAAAGGGGAAGATATTTAGAGAACAGTTCTACTGGAATTGAGAAGCCGATTGATCAAATCAGGGAGACCAAACCAACAGGCCGAAAAAACGGTTACAAGCTATCAAAAACGAAAGTAAAAAAGTGAACATTCTCTTGAACTTTCCTGGATGTTCTTTGAATGTGAAACAATAATAAACAAACACCACAGGATGATTCAATAATTTCCGTATCAACCTTGCACCAGATGCAGGCACAGCGCTTTGACACCTGACAGGATACTACTCATTTGAATCAGTAACATACGCCCTCCACCATTACCCGGTGGAATAGTTCCTCTGAATTCACCCGTTCTCTACTCATTCAGGCACTTTATTCTGTTCGGTTCACCTATCTAATTTTGTTTTGTCTACCGAGTTTAAAAATTTGTTCACAGTTTAATGACAGCCTTGTCTTTTGGTTTGTACTGCTTACAGTTGACCTTGTCAGTTCAGATCTAATAGTTGAAAAAAAACATTTCCGGCATCTGGACAATATCGTTATGCGAGTCATACAAATGGTTCAACAAATGCGCCGATAAATATCCACTCTTAGTCCTTCGGAGAGAGCTGAGTAAAACCACTTTTGTGGTACACTTGTATTGGTTCAACAAAGAGGACGCGTACCCTGAAGCTCACTTAGAAGTATACCTGTCCATTAAGCGGGTGGCTGGGGTTCGCTCCCTAGCATGTTTTTGTTCATGTTACGTCCACCTGGATTTCACGTTTGGAGACGTATTTTCTCCACCAGAATAGCCTCTTAGATGAGGACTTGCTAAGGCAACTGGCCAAAACCCCCAAAAAGCACCAAACGAGTTCACTGACAGAACAGTTGTGACTTCTCCATTCACAGACTGATAGTGCTCAGGGAATAAAACGTCTTCAAAAATGTCAGCGTCGATAAATATAATCTGTTTTGCACTGCTTTGGGCACTGCACAAACATTTGGTGTGGAATGGTTGGGTCGGCGACTGCACACAGTGACATGCGGGTACATTTATCGATTGAACCATACAAAAACAACACATTTTCAAATGAGATTTCGTCCTGTAAGGAAGGGTAATCAATACTGAAAAGCCGAGAGGCACTTTTCAGCGTAGATTGGCTTCAATTACAGGACAAAACTTGAGTTGAAAATTCCAGAAACTCCTCACACTGGAATTCAAAAGCGCCAGAACCGACTGGCGCCAGGGCTATCATGAAGACGTCAAGCCAAAAAAGCTTCTAGCTATTGGTCCTAATATCTCGCGAACTTGCAGTCAAATTTCGTTTGTGTGATCGTTGTTGGCCGGTCTACAGTGTTGGTAAAAATGTGCACAGGATGTGGAATACTAATAGTAACATGGGATGCGTGGTATGTACGAGTGGAATTCTGAAATCTTGACATATACTGAATGAAAACGAACCAGTTTTCCAGACTAAGGTCACTGAAGAGCAGAGGAATCAATGCAATCTGTGCTTGGAACAATGTTCCCACGTCAAGGTACTACTGCATACTAACGGGGACTGACAAACTTTGCTTCCCCCAACCGAGCAAAACTCAAAAGTGAAGTGAGTGAAACTGTGAAATTCCTCTATCCACACTGGTGACCGTGACAATGGTATTCCTTGAACCAGCGGTGCCAAGTCAGCTAAACGATGGTTCGATCCACTGATTATATCTGTCTGTACGGCCTGGAATCGTTTCTCATTAGTGTTAGTGAAACAAGAAATCCCGAAATGCGTACTATTTGAGATCATAATCATTTCATTCAGATATCTAAGGGCTGTCAAATCAATTCAGCAGCGGATCTAACTAGGTCTGTGGCCGAATTCGGTTCGTGGTGTTTCTCTTGGAACCAATGAGGTCGATGTTGATGTGAACGATGGTGTGATACGCGTTACTTTGTTGCCGTAGAACCGGAATGGGCGAAGATATGGGTCTAACCAGAATCTACGTGGCCCGTATGATGCACGATCAGGCTTGGCCGAACTTTGGTAGATGAAACTCCAAAGTTTTCGAGAAATACACGCATTTGCAAATCAACCTCGTTTATGATGTTCTACAACTGAAAGTGCTGCACACAGGCTGCCTCATGTTTCAGTTGGCACGATATTCCAGTTATTGCAGTATATTTTCATAAAGGAAACTACCCACAAGGTAGAATATCATAAACGAGAGATTCAGTTGAGTCACTCGTGAAAACCAGACTGATTTACAAATAGGTGTATTTCTCGAAAACAGTGCAATTTGCGTTCAAGTAGATCATAAGGTTGACGGAAACTCAGGGACTGCGCCTACCTGATGAGCCCAAAGCAGAAGGGCGAAACCGGTCTTGGGCTGTTGAAGAGTTTTCAGCAACCTTGCGAGTAGCTTCTTTTATGAAAACTCCAAAGTTATTCAATATCGGCAGTTGTAAGGTTGCATTAACCTTGCAGTGGTGTTCACGGAAAGTGAGCACCCAGATGGTGGTTCACACTCACGTAAAAATCGCTAACCGTGTGTGTTTTAGTGGCTAAAAGTCCGTGTGAACTTCCGTACGAATGCTTCGCGTGTGAACCAGCCATAGTAATCCTTTGACTTCGTTTCTTTCGATTCATTTCCGTAGGCTGAATACATTACCCAGTAAATCAAATGACTACACCTTTTCGTGCGTAGAAGTTGCGGCATTCCTACTGAACTGCTAACCAGTTGCTTTCTTACTTCCGAGTTATTTGCATTTAAGGCGGGTCTATGTGGATGTTCTCTTGCTTACTAATGCTTGCCTCATACCTTCAAATGACGGTATCGCTGAAATGACAAGTCGTTGAACGAGTGATTTCCTTGGACTGAGGTTGTGTTTTGGGGACCAATAAAGAGGGTGACGATAATACCGCCGATAATAAAACCGGTAATAGTGTTAAACTTCGAAGATATCGATCACACGAGAAGCACCAACAAGCCTTCCTCTCTTTAAATATATTCCGATCAATACACAACCTTGGTGAAATAACGCATGCACAAATTTACTGCGTTCTTCCGGTGTTTTCTGCGCATCAGATGTTATCATCATTGTGTAATTAGAACACGATTCATGTGAATTAAGTAAGTGATTTTGTAAATACAGTCGTAATCGATCTGTGCTCACTAGAATTTCAGGGCTATACTAATATATATATATATAAACAATTGCGCAGGAAAAATGGTGCACTTCCTCAGTGAACCGAAGACCTTTGTGTGATTTGGGCTGCAGAGTTCAGCTGTTTTCGACCACGTTGGAAATGAAATGTCCTTCATTGTCTAGCAAGGGCCCTTGTCCGACAGTTTTGTGTTGTTGCTAGATTATCGCAGGAAATGTCGGTGTAATGTCATAAACTGAAAACCCTGAGCCATGCAATGACAGCATTAGTTCACGATTTCGCTTGTGGTTGGTTCCCTTGCAAATGTCATGTGGCAAATATTTTATCTTGCATACGGCTTGTTGAAAGGGATCAATCATCCATCCATTGGTGGCACTTCGAGACGACAAGCGATTAGAGCGATTGGATTTTCACAGTGAATTAGTCGAATGTTTTTGCAGTGAGTTTCTATTGATCGATCACTAGAACAGCTGAGGGATACGCAAAGATCAACTGGTCAGTCGCCTCAAAAGAGAAATGATGATGATAGTGTTTGACAATCTGTTCACAGCCTCAATTCCCCTCCCGAAAAAACAATTACGTCCGTCCAGACCTCCTCTAAACGAGCTCCTTACACGGTGATTTTGTTAGACAGACTGCCGGATAAAGGTAACCTACATCGTGAAATACACTTATCTGCAATCAATTTGGTTTTTCACGAGAGAATCAACTGAATAGATTTTCATAAACGAGAGATTCAGTTGAGTCTCCCGTGAAAACCAAATTGATTTGCAAATGAGTGTATTTCTCGAAAACAGTCCAATTCGGGTTCAGGTAGAACATAAGGTTGACGGAAACTCGGGGACTGCACCTACCCGATGAGCTCCGACAGGAAGGGCGAAACCGGTCGCTGGCTGCCGAAGAGTTTTCAGCAACCTTGCGAGTAGTTTCCTTTATGAAAATAACCCACATCGTATTGCGTGTACCGAAAGGCGGCCCATGTCATAATGTGCTTCAGCACTGCCATTTATCGGTTATTTGCGCGAGCCTTCCCAGGATAACCGAGTGTCTAGCCCGTCCGGTATAACCAAAAAAATGAGCTCGGGCAACGCCGCAATCGGCTTTTTTTGTTTAACAACCTAAGAAATAGTCTAGTTTTGTAGCAGTTATATTACAGAATTTTCAGGACATCTGTGGACATGACCTCGAGACGTCTTTTCATAACTGACGGAGAGGTCGGACAACCCATCAAAAGGAAGAAACCTGGTCTACAATAGACAAACGAGACAAGTGTTGGGCACATTTTAACGCATGTGAACAAATCCTTGTTGGGGAAAAACTGGGATTAGTCCATGGATGAAAACTTAGTTCGTAAACGTGATGGTCAACTCTGTCCTAATTTTTACACTTGCGGAGAATGACCTGCACGAGGAAAAAGTCATCCCAAATTATCTATGTCTTTATGATTGCATACCACGCTCTCTCACATCCTTCATCGGCGAGACGTAATAAAAACGAGCGATAATGAAATTCTTTGAAACTCAATCAACGGAGGCGTCTTCTCTGCAGAGGACAGCTAAAAAAAGTCAGAGGCAGTGTGGCGCAACTTGGTATCGTCGTTAATTATGGAGCGGATCACTGGTAAAATAGTACTGCATCGTGATTTTACACAAACATGTCGGTCACTAACCCCCCCCCCCTCGGGCAACTGCGATCCAAGACAGTTCTAATGTGGCCTTGTCCCGACGTGCGGGTTACTCGCCTTCAAAAAAGGTGACTTACTGGACCTACTTCCATGAAAAAACCTCAATCTTCTCTACTGTTCCGTTTGTTTGTTGCTTGTTCACTACGTTTACGCCCTCACGCGAATAAATTAATCTTTCGCTCAAATCAATTTGACCATCAGGTTAGCTCGCATATGGCATTTGGAAACATCTTACCAGTCATTACATATTATTTTCTGCACTGCCAATCACGAGTCCATAGGATGCTTTTAAGCATAAGGTCAGGTACTTTTCTGGCCATTTGCCAACTGGTTTTTCGATGATTTATGACCGACAGTCCGCCCTCCATTATATCGAAATTTTCTGTCTTATGCCGATACTAACCGAACGATTAATGAGAGTTCAAGCAAACAACCCTGAGATTTACAGTTGACTGATGCAGATAGCGCAACATATTTCACAGTCTTTGGGACTGTTGTTGACCAATCAAATTGACGAATTCATTATGGCTGAGTGATCTGACAAATGCAATGTTGTCAGATCGATAATTGACCTCACCACCGATTATCACTGGAGATGCGCTAGTAGTATCTAGAGGAAGTAGGTCTGTCCTCAGAGATGAATGCTTCGTACAGCAAAACTTGTTTATAGTAAAAACTTTGCAGAATAAGAATTTAGCTACCTTCTGTTTGGGGTCAACGCCAAGGAGTTTTGTTTCCATGTGCATTGAGAAGCCTGGAGATTGATGGCTGCCGAAGTGCAAAACAGATTTGATATCAAACCACTCGTCTTCTTCGAAGGGGCGACGATTGTGGAGTGGAGCGTTTTCATAAAGAAAACTACTCATAAGTTTGTTGAAAACACTTCGACAACCCACAACCGCTTTTACCCTTCTTGGGGCTTATCCCGAGTTGTCGTCAACCTAATGTTCTGCCTGAACCCAAATTGGCCCCCCCCCGAGGTGCGGTCCTCCCAGGCTCGCAGCGCAGACTAGCTCTACCTACAAGACGAGATCTCAATAGAGAATCGGCAAACCTCCGCCGCACTGCCAACAATCTTCAAGTGGCTCAGGGGAAGAATGATGAGAATTCGTCAGTCGAGGGAACAAACAGTAATTGATCACGTGGTGTAATTTCTCTGATTTAAAGATGGATGACACTTTATCCTATCTAACCACAGTGCTGACTGAACGGGCAAGTGTTCAGACTGGAAGATCCCACTAGTTTGAAACTCCACCGAGTTTTCTGAACTACAAACTGTCATTAAATCCCAATGAGGATGAAACAGCTGTACAGTCTATAGATTGTTTCCACTTACAGAACTAAGTTCTAATTGAAATTTATCTGATTTTGTGACCACATAACTGTGCTTGCATGCTAATATTAGACGTAATGATAATAGTGATATGCAGTGATTGGGAAATCGAAAATGGGATTTTTTCGTTATGTGCACGTCTGACCAAGAGTTCAAAGCGACTGGCAATGGAGCTTGGGGGCGAGATGAACCAAGTGGTTCGAGCGCGAGTTTACTGACTCGAAGGTCCATGGTTGGAACCCGACCTCCGCCACTCGACTTCCCCTGTCTAGGCTTGGGCAGCCTGGCAGTATCCCAGCCCTCGTGCCTCCTTTGTGTGGCATGGCAGCTAGGCATCGAAAAGGTGCTAAAGCTGAGCGATTTTTAATGGAGTTCGACATTCACAGGTCTTGGAATGTATGAGTAACAAGGAGAGTAATGGCGATAATGCACTTAATGTTTTCCCAGAATGTGGATGGAAAATGTACTTATCCCTTTTTTATCTTAATGCACTTAAACTCCCTATTAGGAGCTGTCTTCGAGTGCGGTGTGATACAACGCAACTCATATGGACTAAGGGAAGGTAGAGACGCTGGGTCAAGTACCTGATGAACGGCACGAAGTACTGTGTTTCTGACTGTACAGCTCATCTGGCAAGCGCGGTATCTGACTGTGAGCACTTGTGCTTGGTATTCCGCAGATTGTCATATTCCCATATTCAGAAAGTACAATATATGTTTGAGTCGCCTTTTGATATGTTTACCTTGTCCCTTCAAAACATTTTTGCGTAAAATTGCCAGAAAACACCCTAGATTCCTTGCAACTCAGAGGATCTTTCAGTGACGTTTGGTAATTTAAACTTCTCGGGAACCGACTCATCCCACTGTTCACGTGGTGTAGACGATGAAAGCTAGAGAATGCAAAAGGTAGCAGTATTTTGTCCTACCCTATAACCAATTGGTGAATCTAAGAGTAACCAAGATGTATAGTACCTGTGCAGGATCCGTCGCTCTTGGTTTTTCGGGAACACAGCACCTACTCGGAAAGAGGTATACGAGCTTCACACCCCTGACCTGTGATGACTTCATCTGGCAACTTCCGTCAAGTTCGTAAGTGAAAAGAAGAGCCTGTTGTGGTACAAGTTTGAGACTGGG